CATCGCTGGTAGATCTCTTCTAGGCTTTTCAGATACAGGGTTTGTGTGTATATATATATATATGTGTGTAGTATATACATATAGCGAAGGTGCCATATAGCGCTATATGCATGGTAATTCAAAACAGCCCGTAAACTTAGAAGGTGCGCAGCAGGACCCCCCCTTCTAAATGTATATACTGTTTTGAAGTGCCGAAAATGCTACCTTCTAAGTTCCGGGCCGTCGTTATATATGCAACTGTTTCTTGTATTTCGTCATAACCCCTGGCAACTGAAGGATGACTTCACAAATCCCTTCTGACGCGGAAACGCCGGCCGCGGCCCCCTTTGTGAAACGCAGGTCCGAAAGATTCCACGGTCACCACGTCAGTCACGTCACTCGTCGTGGGAAGCCGGGGGCCCAATGAGACGGTCGCTTGGCTGAGGGCCCAAGCGACAGTCGTTGTTTCTTTCCACCAAAGCGTTTGTTGTTTCTGGTCGCTTGGCGGCCATTGATTCAGATTTGAAAGTGCGCCCAGCTTTTTGCATATGTGCCGGCCAGAGCTGTGAATTTTCTCGTTTGAAATGCCGAATTAGGCTCGAGAGATCTACATATCTCCTGGTGCCCGTTTTCCTACAACCTGTTGCTTGGGTCTTTGCACCTGCCAGGTGCAGGACTATTAGACTCTGCAGTTGTTTGGGATAGCCCACCAAGCTTGGGATTTGGTAGCCCAGGTCCAGGTGGAGATGACATAAATGATCAGACTGCAAGGGGAAGAATATAACAATTTCTTGGGCTTGTGCAACAAGGTTCACGGAGTGCCCACAGCTTTAGGGCTTTGTTATGGTGGAATCCTGCCACTGCTTCGTCAGTGACCTCAGTTCGTCCGACGATCGGGTCTACCCCGGGGGTGTAGATTCGGAACCATTCTTCTTTGGGGTTCATAGGATGTGCACAGTGCACAGACAAGCAATCTGGTGATCATCTGGTGATCCTTTGCGAATAGATGCTAATAGATGCTAGTTGCCCGCTTCAGCCTTCGTTGCTGGTTGTGTTCATGCGGCAGTGAGACTACAACAAGTTAAGGGTTCGGTTGAGCAGTCCGGATGCTGCGCGACCACCCAGGCCACCCAAGCGCGCTTCGGATGCCCGCGGAACAGTGGGGACGATTCGCCGTTGGGAGCCCAATGGTGCCGATTTAGACGGCCGGAAAGTGGTGTGCTGAATGGCATTGGATTATGATATGTAGAACATCACGGAAGGTTCAGGTGACCATGTTTGTATGTTTTTTCCTAGTGGACATCCCGGGTGCAGGACGGAGTCGGATGGCTCGTCCTCGACCGGACGGCTCGTCCTCGACTCAAGACAGGGCCGCAAGTACCTGGCTGCACGAGTTTCACCGGGATGTTTATGGGAAACAACGTTCCAAGAGGCTTCCAGAACACTGTGTTTAGGAGTCTGTGGCTGAAGTATGGCTGAACTCTAGCGATCCTTTGGTGAAACTGCGGCTGCATAAGGCTTTTTCTGACAATCTTGGTTGATGGCAGATGTCTTCGCTTTTCTCTTAAAGTTCTGATCGGCTTACAATGCTGTTACAGTGTCCTGTCATATGTGGCTGCAACGGATCATACCCGATACCCTTTCTTCTTAGCATATCATTCAATTCGATCATAGGGAACCAACAGATCTTGGTAGCTCATTGAAGTTAAGCTGTTGTTGTTGCTGTTGTTTCCATTTTCTCCATGTCCGTATGCTCTCAAGAGTGCCACGATTGCACACATGTCTTGCCACTATGTTTTTGTTTGCTTCCTCCTCACTTCCGTCAATTTACATTTCTTTGATTTTCTGTGTAATGTCTAGACACATTTACACTCTGACGAAAACATCACATGGAAGAGGATGGAAGAGGAACATGGACATGGACCCCTGGAAGACTGCTTTCCTCTGCAAAAACAGGGCTTGAGCTCCACTTGCACTTCCATGTTCGGTGGAGGACGACCCCGTTTGGCAGGGCATCGCACAGTAAGTCGTTTTCTCCGCCGAAGTGCTTCGGCTCCGCGAGTCTGCGGAGGCTTTCCGCAGGTCATCTCTGTAAATGGCATGAAACAATACGAAACAAGTGGGTTGTGAGGTCTCTTCTTTTTCAGGGGAACTCAGAGGCATGTGCTGTTTCATTACAAGAGCTAACAGAGAGGTTCTCCATAATCCAAAGAATGCGGCATAATTCTGATGTGTTGTTTAATATTGACATGCAGATTTGAACATGTTCGATCCACAGCGATGGTGTTGCTATGCACAGGTGAGAGTACCCTTGTTTTGACATATTATCTCGCCTTGGCCTGGAGTCCATTTGACGCCATGTTGCCTTGAATCTTATTGAAGGTGGCATGGAGCCAGGTGAAGACGAAGACACTGAAACTGAAAGGATTCAAGTGGAGGTCCTACTGCTCAGTGGGCAGTCGGCCTCGGTCGCTGCTTCAGTCAATAAGGGCATCAGCAGTTTGCTGGTGGCTGCTGGAAAGCAGTTGGGGGTTCATCTAGGTCAAACGGTCACATCGGATGGCCACTTGCTGAATCCCCGCAGCACGATTGCTGAGACTGGACTGAAGGATGGAGATGCAGTCTTTGCAACGGTGCGTTGCTCCAGACTTGTGTCAACCCGGCACATACCAGCGTTTGCCTTAATCCGAGACGATGCTTCTGTCATGGTCTGGGGAGACTTGCACTTGTTTTTGAATGTGTTTTTGTTGCAGCGGCACATCAAGTTTGTTTGACCGTAGTACTTTTCTGAGGACCAAAAATTGACTTGACTTCCTGCGAATACTTGTGTAGTACTTGTACCATCTTCCGGCGCTTGTAGTGTTTGATCTGAGGAGACGGAGACAGTGGAGGATGGTTCAGCAAGGAGGTTGAAGAGCAGCTTCATGATGCGGCTTCACTTCAATTTGCCCCACCTAGTGCTGAGAGTTGTTAGCGCTGAGTGGCACACATCGAGCGATAAACAGTTTATATAATTACATGTGAACAGTTGTGAACTATATCATTATGTGCTGTACACTAGTCACTAGTACAACCCCACAAAGAACACACATAAATGGATATGTGTTCAGGAACTATTTTCAATGTAGATGTTATTCACTGTAAAGCTGTTGCTTTCTAGTAAGTATGTAGAAGCTACTAGATGGAGGCCATCGCTAGTAGGTTGGGGGCCATCGCTACTAGGAGCAAGAAGCTGTTTAGTTTTTATTTGTTTAACAACTATATAGTTATTAAACAAATGTGTGTATATACATATTTAGTTTGTTTTAGACAAACATATATCTAATTATATATATATATGTTGTTTTGTTTAAGACAAAAAACACATACAATATATATATATGTATATAATATTAGATTTACTTGGATCCCGATCTTCATCGCCCAAGGTCTGTGACATCCAATCCACGATGGGTGCATTTGCGGCGCTGCGAGAGGACGGCTCAGTGGTTTGTTGGGGCGATCCTGAAGATGGCGGAGATTGCAGTCCGGTGAGGGACGAACTTCGAAGCTCAGCTGAAATGGCTAAAAAGAGGTGCTGACTGCAGACGGAGAGGTCTCCAAGTCGGGTGAGATCGAAGAACTGCTTTGGAAACTTCAAATGAGTGACACATGTTAGATTTCATGATGCTTTTCCAAAGATTAAGCTGATTTGAGCTTTCTATCAAAGTAAGGCTTGTCTTAGATTCCAAAATACCCTGATCAGCACACAACTATGTCAGTGGCCGCGGAAAACTATCCTTCGAAAAGAAAGCATCGGTGCGGTGACGAAGGAGGCGTGCAGGAGATTTGCTCCACCTTGGGAGCCTTTGCTGCTTTGGTGGATGGCCAAGTGGTGACGTGGGGAAATCATCAGGATGGTGGTAGGTGTGATGCAGTTCAGGAGGACTTGGTGGAGGTGCAGGAGATTCAAGCAGAGATTTCAATGAGAGGATATAAGAGTCTAAGAATGTATACTATATTATATAGTAAATGTATGTAAATGTTCTACAGTTGTAGAAGCCCTAATTAGTGCAGTAGTTGCCTACTTGGACCTGCTGGACTATTTGTTGAGCCAGAAGGACACGAAGCTGTTCAGACTCATAGAGGGAGGATGGCAACATTGGTAGCGCCTCTTCAGGAGATCTGGGGCGGTGGACAAGCCTTTGCAGTCAAAAACGCCAATGGTCACGTGATCACCTGGGGCGACAAAGGTTCGCAGTCAATTTCGGGATCGAATTGTTTTCCTTTGTTGCTGGATCTTGCTGGCCAGTCACAGTCAAAGAAGTCCAGTGACAGTCGCCAGACTGTACATATATATATATATGTGAAATTAGCATAATTAAAAAACTGATCTGTGCCAGTGGGTGCCAATTCTTGTGCTTTTCGTTTCTGAATGGCCGAGTGGCCTGAGCATTCAAGGGGGATAGAAGGAGATCATGCTTATCATGAGCAGGCATGGGGAAGGAGGACGGATGAGCACTCCGTGGCCAGAAGTCATGCAAAGAATAACATAAGTTGTCTTGGGTCCTTTTTACTAGTAGCTTCTTGTTCCTAGTAGCGATGGCCTCCACCTAGTAGCTTCTTGTTCCTCGTAATGTCAATCACCAAACCTAAACTTGAGTGCCAGCTTCTTGGACACCTGCAGGTCGTGGCGGTGATTGCAGTCACGTAGAAGCACAGCTGCGCGAGGCCGTTCTGAGAAAACTTTCGATTGCTTTGAACTCACCATGTTTGATCTCGCAACTACAGGGTGTCACACGGTGTCACAATCTAAAGGGATGAGGTTCATCCAAGCCAATTTTGGTGGTCAAGCAAATTCGACCACAAGACCTTGGACACATTCACACATGTTCGACATTCATCAGTGAGTGATGGTTGTTTGAGGCTTATTGTCAGTCTAGAGACTGTCACTTCTGTGAAAGCCCTGCAGCCTCATTGTCATATATATATAATAAATATGTGTACTTGGAAATCATTGCCGTCAGAGCCAGGGGTAAACTCCTGCACAACTCGCCGAGCTTGTTCAGTCTGGAAACAGGCCAACCAACTCCCATGCAACAAGAAACCATGACAACAAATTGGGTCAACTTTCTCCTTAAGCCAAGACAAACTGGACACCGACTCACCGCCTTCACCGTCCAGTATTCACATAACTGAACAACAGTCCTGTCAGGACGTGCAAAAGTTGGTTGAATCGACTCGCACACGGATCCGCAGGTGCGCTCGGTCTGCGGATCGGACGAGGCCTTTGCGGCGATCTGTGACGGTGGCCGAGTGGCCACTCGGACGGTGGCCGGCCGGCTCATTGGGATCATCCTCGGTCGGAGCAGCCATTTGCTGGTTCACGAGTTTGCGTGGGTTTTGTAGGTGGGACTGGTTGGGGTGTGAAGACAAGAGACAAGGAAGCAGGAAAGTCAAAGAGAAGTCACTTCATGGTCGAGGTTTTCTGGAAGTGCATGCCACCTGTGCTCTATGAGGCAGTAGGTGGGTCCCATGTGTTTGAGACTGGAAACTGCGTGTGTAGTTCTGGTGAAAGTTCCAATTGCCCCCTCCAGAATTTCTGAAATTGCATGGCAATGGCAATATCACTTTTTGCTTGGTGCACGAAGGACCATATGAAAGACCCGATGAATCTCAATGTTTTCCTGCATATGACTGTATCTCTATCTCAAGATTGGAAGATATCTCAAGATTGGAAGGGAAACTACCTGTTCCTGTCCCAGGAGGAAAGCCCTCCCCAAAGACAGCCTCCCTGGTTGGGTTTTTGCTTCCCCACATATCTTCTGTGAAGGCAGGGACGGACCCTCGAGTCAAAGATACATCCATCTCGGTGATCTCCGCGCCAAGCGAGGTTTGTTGGGGGGATGCAATGCAGTCTGACACCAGCATCATGGCGTTTGAGCCTGGGAGGGTGCACATCCCCAGGATAAATCAACTACACCCCGTCCTGTTTGTTATTGTTTGCTTTGCACCAATTATGTGTAGAGTGGATGTAGAATTTGGCTGTGGGCCAGCATTTAAGAGGTGCTTTGACCATTCCACAGTGAGGTGCAGGGAGGATGTACCGGGCTTTAGTTGACTTCCCATTTTGTAGAAAAGAGCAAAAACAAAACGGCCTCGGATTCTCCTTTCATCAGGTCTTTTTGGCTTCTCC